AAGTGAGACACACTGTATATAGAACTCGAAGAAATATTATATCATCTCTCTATATGAACAATATTGTGATATATACTCAGTATATACTAGTCGTTGTTGTCATGACTTTTATAAATGATAACTTACAGAATAAAACTTCGCTTCCCATGTCAATTTTCAGTTTAATAACTGAATTATTAATATTAATTTTTTCCACCCATTCGATAGTATTCACATTTCCTCCAAAAATAGACGATACAAAGTTTTGTTCATCATATACTTGATCAGAACTATCAGAAGTCTCAGTGTTATTTTGTAATTCAGAAAGTTCATGGACTTTTTTATTTTTATTACAAAATTTTAAATAATGTCCCTTCAAGCGACATTTATTACATATTCTATAAAATGCAAACATTTAGAAGAAATAGAAGAGACATCAAACCTTTCAAGGGAAATACAACTGCCTTGGATCCTGACCCAACATCAGTCTTAACACTTTTCGAGATTCCTGTGCATATGGAAAGTGTGGAAAATTCTAGAAATATTCCTAACTCTGAAAATCATACTTCGGATGAACACAAACTGACTTCAGTCGTATAAAAGCAGAATCAAGTCGAGTCTTGGCAGAGCCTGATGGTTGCGGTCTTCGTCGATCTACAAGAATTCCAAGAGTCCCGAAAATTATGAATTTATGAGGAGAGGCCGTTTGATATATACTCAGTATATACCAGTCGTTGTTGTAATGACTTTTATAAATAATAACTTACAGAATGAAACTTCACTCAACATTCTATTCATCTATCAAATTGTTATCTGAGAATATCTTTGATATCTTTACAAATAATATACTATACCTATACGTACCTACTATAACACGGTTCGTAATTATTGAGATTGAAGGCGTTGCAATTTTCATTTTTTCCCTAGACGTTTCATGAAAGACACGCCACTTTTCTTATTACGTATAAAACACTATCAATCCAAATGAAAGTCCATGAACCTTAGTTGCACTCCCAGATGTTGCACTCATTCGTCTAATCAATTAGCTCCGCGAATTTCGATTAATTACCTAATTTACATCAATCTTGTCGTTCTAACTAGAAGGCGATTTGTCTTAATCATCGCGTTATTGGACGAGAAGACGAAAATCCCCTGCCGTTAAACGGTACAGAAAGTGCCACTTCGCCAAAGTAATTGGCAAAGTTTCTGCCTAAGAGGAATGCGAAAATAAGAATTTTCCAATAGGTCTTATACACGGCGATCAACTTTCAATGATGAAAAGACCTACTCTCATTTTTGTTTATGTTCTGGTCCTCACGAAAAGGGATATCCTGTAATGTATGGTTCAGGGAACATCGTGAGAACCAAGGGAAATAAGGTAGGAATTGGTGTTCTTCTTAAATTTCTGGAGGTTATATGCCTCGGGGAACACTTTCCTTGGCAATGTGTTCCAGAGCATCGTCCATGGAAATATCTATAAAATAGAGCCAGATCGCCAACTCTTCTACGGTGTTCCAGAGAAGCTAAGCTTCACCCACGAGACGAATTGCCCTTTGCACTCCAAATATGGAAACAGTATTCCAGGACAGGTCGGATCTGTGCCTTATAGATCATAAGCAACTGACTGGAAGTGGAATAGCTCCTGGCCCGAAACAGAAATCCAAGTTTTTGGGATGCACTTCTAGCAATTGATCTCACGTGATTTTCCCCAGAAAGGATATTGCTGATAGTAATACCTAGCATCGGAATGGATGTCTTTAAAGGTATGGTTACTCCTGACAAGCTTATGTTGGGCACAGTGAGATCGGCTTTTCTAGAGAAAAGGCATGCTTGTGTTTTGTTTGCATTGAAATCCACCAAGTTATTGGATCCTCATTCAAGAATTGTTGCCAAGTTCATATTTATGTTTTCAAAATTTCTCCCTCGTTTGTTTCTGATTTGCCTGGCTGGTATTGGAGCCTTGGAAGAGAAGGCGGTATGGAGGGTACTATCATCATTTTTTGGACAGAATCCAACAATTTCATATCAATATCTTAATAAGATCCCAGAGAGCACTGGATATTCCTAGAATATCATCTAAATATGCCTTAAATGGGGAATATATCCCGAATATGCACCAAATATACCTATAATATATACAGGCTGATTCACGGTGGATGGCACATTAGACGTTCCTGGATAACGCAACTTAGGATTATACTGAAAATTCGGTTTCTCGAATAATTAGTTGTGTTCTATCGACCCAAACTATTCTCAACACTGCGACGTTGCCGCTTATATTGAACAGTAGCAACCTCTTTGATTTTTTTGAATGACACACCCTATATATTATTCCATTTTCAGATTCTTCCTGAAGAGCTGATTCCATCGATTTATTACACTTGGGGTCTAGCGGGAATGATAACAAAGATATAGGGAGTGAAAAATCGAGGTTTTTTAACTTCAAGAATTTCTTGTGTCGAAAATATTCATAATTAGTCAAAAATTGAAATAGATACAGGGTGGTTGAAATTCTCAATTCTGAGTGTGTAATTCCATGAGTGCGTAGTTGCTTTACAACACGCATTACTTACTATACTTTACCTACTGCATATAGTACATCAAAAAATGTCGGACAAATAGTCTGAACTATAATTCTTGACAGTTATATCATCCGCTGTTGACGGCGATTTCGCGATCATGACTGGCGGAATAAACGAAAACTGTGCGATGTGCTTACTGTGCGTAAATAGCTACTTACTGAGGCTGTATCTCGTGTGTTCTTACCTACTTTCCATAGTGGCCGTAGGTGAAAAATCTTGAAATGATGCATTTCAAGAAAAAATTTTCATCAGCAAACAAAGTTATAAGAGCTTGTGGGTTCAAAAGGTGGTACAATGTATACAGGGTGTTTCGAAATTCGACCGACAACGTTTGACAGGTGATAGCCCTCGTGATTTCATAATCATTGAGATAGGAACATTCGGTCTTCAAGTGTTCAGTTCTCGAGATACAGGGCGTTGAAGTTGTGAAATGAAAATAGTTGTTTCGCAATATCTCAAGAATAATTGAATATAATGCATTCAACTTCGGTATATGGTTTCATCTTTGAATGGGTCATTTTTTGACCTAGAAGCCATTCCGGACATTTTGTCCAGTGGTGCCCTACAGGGGGTTGTGGCATTTTTTCCTTCCATATTTTCTACGCCACTGATTAAATTTCGATTATTTCCAATTCCTCGAATTCATTGTTCAATTTTGTTCAGAAAATGCATCACCTTCAACTGAGCTGAAATAAACAGTTTTCGAGATATTCGACCCAAAATAGAAGATTGCATAGTAATATTTCATCATTTTCAGTAGTAGAAAATTGCAAAAATATTTTTCTGGTGTTGAGTAGATTAGATACTATTCAGATCTCATGCTATAGCTGAACAGAAATAGTTATTCCACGCATAAAGAGAGAACAAAAATGTTCGTAATTTTCTAATACTGAGGAAGATGAAAAATTACTATGCAAACTTCTATTTTGGGTCAAATATCTCGATAACTGTTCATTTTAGCTTAGTTGAAGGTGATGCACTTTTTCAACATAATTGAACAATCAATTCGAGAAATTAGAAATAATTGAAATTTCATCAGTGGCGTAGAAAATATGTGCGGAAAAGTTATCACAACCCTCTGTAGCGCACCTCTGGATAAAATTCTCGGAATGTCTTTCTGGTCAAAAAATTAACCATTGGAAGATCGAACCATATACCGAATTTGAATGCATTATATTCAATTTTTCATGAGATATCGAGAAAAAACTATTTTAATTTCTCAACTTCAACGCCCTATATCTCGAGAACTGAACACTTCAAGACCGTATGTCCCTATCTCAGAGATTATGAAATCACGAAGGTTATCACCTGTCAAGCGTTGTCGGTCGAATTTCGAAACACCCTGTATAAAGAATTCAAAATATTTTTCAAGATCAATTTCTTCATTCTGACGCTAGAACCTCAACCATTCTGTATACAGGGTGAGACGGGAGGTACGGGCCAAATTGTAGCAACACATTCTACACATATAAATACTCCATTGTTGCTATTTAAAATTCATTAGAATTCAGTTCGCAGTTGCAAATTCATAAAAGCCATCGCCAATTTTCATGGGATTGTCTAAGTTTTAGATCTTATCTACTGATTCAATAGATCGCGTGCACGATGACCGATACTGGAGGTAAAACATCGAAAAGAACCTCACTCATCTGTAAAATATTGAAATACAACCTAACTTTTTTTATTCATCTTCAAAGGAATCTCAGGATTGAAATTGTTTTTCACGATATTTTGGCATCCGAATCGTGTTTTTTGCGCTATTCAATGAATCAAGCATGCCTTTTCATTTTGCTGTTGTACAATACACAAAAAATGCAGCGAGAGACGAAGAAATATGATTTTTCAGGTAAATAGTAATCTCGCATTGTTTTCATTTCTTATTCAAAATTCCTTGTGCCACTCCTGCAATAGAAGCTACTGCTAATAGATTGAAAATGTCTACAACACACACAGTCATATTTCATCAGCATGTCAAACCTGTCCTCCCGTTTGATTGCATGAATGTAAACTTGTTGCATTCTTCTAGGAATATTACGAGTATTTCTCTTAGCTTCTATTGCAGAAGGAATTCCGATGAGAAATCAGAGAAATTACCAAATTTCAGAATGAAAACTTTATGTAAGTGACTATAGTAGGTGCTTACTCTCAAATCATAATGAACCAACCGGATTCCTTCGTCTCTCGTTGCATTTTTTGTGCATTGTACAACAGCACAATGTAATGGCATGTACGAATTGAATAATAGCCGAAAAACACGATTCGTATGCCAAAATAATTGTGAAAAACTATTTCAATCCTTTGTTCACAAATAAGAAAGTGAGGTTGTGTTTCAATGTTTCACTTCCAAGGTCGGTCATCTGACAGTTCTTGCACGCAACCCATGTAATTCTTGTCAAACATCATAAACCGAAAAATCCTCTTTCTTTTCAAAACACTCACCAACTTGTTGCACCGCTTAGGGAATCTTTTCACTTTGGACTTGAACACGCTCGAGATCAGTATTTTGCACTTGTTTCCATTGCCAATAGAATATTCTGCTGGCGATGGAGTAATGGCGGCGTCTTTTTTCAAATCGATCGTGTTTCTCAATGCCGAATTGTTGAAGGGAGCCCGAAATATGGCTGATTCTTTTTCCGAAAAAGGCCGATTAGTATCGTACTCTGCAGGACCTACGACAGATGCTTTCATTACATCTTTTTTTCACCATCCAAAAATCAATTAATGAAAATACATTGTGTACAATGACCGGCCATTACTTCCATTGTTTTCTTGTTATCAAATCATTTTCAGAGGTTATACAAGAGAGGAACATTCAGCTTACTGGTGTTTTGAGATGTTCAATTGATTGATTGTCTTTATTTACCCAAGAAACATAGTTGTTTATAATAGGGATGCATTAACAATATACATAATGTTATACATACAATTATGAGATGATGATAAGATATAACAGGTAGAAAAAAATGCTGATAATTATGCAATAACAACCTCGATCGTCTTTCATAAGTAGGTATTCAAATGAGAAATGGCATTATCAATGTCTCTGAAGCAGATGTTTTTTCAAGTTAATTTTGAATACCCCGTACAAATCACAAACGATTCTCTCGATAAAGAGAAAATTTTGTTCTCATTCTTATCGTGAGTGTTCTATAGATATAATTCAATGTTCATCGTGGCATATAGCCTAGAAATTAGTCGTTTTCTGTTGAATAAACCGCGAAAGAATTGATTTTTCATCACAAAAAGAATGCGAATTCTCAATGTATTTCTTTATATATATATATCCATTTTTTCGTGTTAATAATTCGTCTGAGAATATTCGTTTTAAATACTTTCACCCAATCAAGGAGTTCAAACTTGAACGATGGTCTTTTAATCGCAGATTAGGTTTCCTCAATTCAGAATTTTTTTTGCACGTCCTGTATGATGGATATGAATTTGTCATACATCGAAAAACACAGAAAAAATCCAGTGTGTGTAGTGACAAACAACTATAAAAAAATCTTTCACGTCATCTCCTCTCCTTTGGAAACCCTGAAAACCATTACAAAATACCACAACATGTATAACAATCCAAATTTTCTAACATTCTCACCTGGCGTTCTAGCTGTTTTTTTCTTGGAAAATCTGCTAGCAGAGACATGAAACGGTGCCAAGCTTGTTCGGAATATCCTCGCAGAACCGGCAACATCGTAAGCATCCGGCGAAGGATTTTCCAAGATATTTTCTTTGAATCTTGGACTACCTCTGATGAACGGCCTGGGGAAAATACCAGGACACATTTTGCACGGTTCTTGATTAGCCCGAATGTTGTATTGGCCTGGACCAGGCAAATTCTAGAAACAAAAACAAACAAAAAACAATGTTTGGAATTTATATTATGAACACGTTTCTATAATATACCCGTGCACATTTGTTCTAGAAAACCAATCAGATTGAGATATCAAAGTATCAAACATCAAGAAATCAACGACGTGCTGCCTTCGATGTGTTCCAAAACTCTTGTTGCGATCCATCATTCATTCTGCCCCACATAAATTCCTCCAAGGGGCATTCCCGACCGCAATAATTATCGTCGCATCTCTCACCTCGCCAGCCAAATTACGCGAGAATACATCATAATTTATCCTAATTAGAGGACATCCTATAGCGAAAAGTCACATACCTACTCTACCGAGACAGTTGCTATCGCATACAGTAAACGAAAACATAACTCACACGCCCACAGATCTCTTGATTTTATTGCAGCGGCGTCACTTTTTATCGAACTACGAAACACTCTATTGTTCTGACCAGCAATTATCTCCTATATAGTCTGCAATTTTTAGACTAGTGCCTAGTTCAGTCTCTGATAAATTTTGGGCCATATTCTAGTTCACTATACTACTCTATAGGGTCTGTCATCTTTGCATGCAGTCCTGTTGTCTAGTGTCTACCCAATAAAGTATGCCTTTTAATATTATAGTGAATAGTATGATGATCTATTATCCAATCTGTAGTACTGTATTCTGAAGTGTATAGTAATCGAATTCTAGGATTCAAGGCCATAGCCTGATGACTCTATAGTCTACAACCTAGACTAAAATCTGTTTGGTATTCCAATGTTGTCTGGTCGTCTTTATTCTAGTCTATATTCTCATCTGCAAAGTCTAATCGATAGCATGTAATCTAGTCTGTATTCTGACACGTAGTCCTAAGTTTGTACAGACTGGTACTCAGACCTCAGATAAACCATTGTCTATCTTAGATCAGAAATGTAGTTTGATCTGTATTCTAGTCTGTAAGGTATATATGTTCCTAGATTGCAAGTTTGTAGTCTTATGACCCTAGTCGAATCTACAGCCTAGTCTATAATCTGTAGTCTGGTCGATAGTCTGCGGTCTACATAGTTTCTACTCTGATCATGTCTGTAATCTATATAGACTGGCCCTCAGATCCATGAAATATATCCTTGTTCTTCTCTACTTACAGAATGTATTCTAGAATTATTATACAATATAGTCTGATGACTCAAGCCTCACAGCCTAGTCTGTCGCCACTCTGTAGTCTGATACATAGAAAGATTAATATTTTGCCTCTACACTTATCTCTCGTCTCTAGTAGATAGTTTAGTACATATTTCAGTCAAGTCTACAATGTAATCTGACTGAAGCGTATTTTGGCCTGACATTCGATCGAGTCTGGCACCACGGACTCCTCGCCAAGCTTCCATCTTATGGCTTGCCTCCCCAGCTATGTTCTCTGCTAGCTAGTTTTCTCTCAAACAGTTCTCTCCATGTAGTGGTCGACGGAGTTTAATCTGACTCTCTTATCATGAATGCTGGTGTTCCGCAAGGATCAATTCTGGCACCAACACTATTTGTACTCCATATCAACGATCTGTATGAAGCAACTTTATGTCCAGTACACAGATTCGCGGATGATAGTACCTTCCATACCGCTTTCTCTTCCAGGGCTCCAATACCAGCTAGGCAAATCAGAAACGAACGAGGAAAAAATGTTGACAACATAAATATGGACTTGGCGACAATTCTCGAATGGGGATCCAATAACTTGGTAGATTTCAATGCAAACAAAACACCAGCATGCATTTTCTCTAGAAAAGTCGATCTAACTGTGTCGAACATAAGCTTGTCAGGAGTAACCATACCTTTGAAGACATCCATTTCGATGCTTCGCATCACTATCAGCAATAACCTTACTTGGGAAAATCACGTGAGATCAATTGCTAAAAGTGCATCCCAAAAACTTGATTTTCTGTTTCCGGCCAGGAGCTATTTCACTTCCAGTCAGCTGCTTATGATCTATAAGGCACAGATTCGACCTGTCGTGGAATACTGTTCCCATATTCGGAGTTCAGCACCCAAACATACCCTGAAACTGTTGTATTCTGTCCAAAAAAGGGCAATTCTTCTCGTGGGTGATGCCTCGCTCACATACTCACTCAACTCTCTGAAACACCGTTGAAAAGTTGGCGATCTGGCTCCATTTCATAGATATTTTCATGGACGATGCTCTTCTGAAATATCTACAATTGTTACTTTCTTGGCAGTCCCCGCGAGATTAACCCGTCGAGTTGAGGCTTCGCACCACTTCGTGGTCACTTTGGAGACCTGCAGAACATCTCTTCCCAAAGTCTCGTTCATCCAACGAACAGCGAGGCACTAATTTTTTTTATCATCACTATATCCAATGCTACGCCTCTGATTGTATAATGCGGAGGCTGATGGTTTAGAATTAATTGAGAAACGTCAACA